GGGCAGCCATGAAGAAGCAGAGCGAAAAAGCCCCCTTCCTTAAAACAAAAAGGGAAGAATGGTTGGCAATAATGGCGCGATAGGTTTCTGGTTCTTATGTCCTTAAGTTTTGTTTTCAGCGGTCTGCCTCAAGTCTAGGTTGAATTTCTCCTGCCAACCTCTATAGCATGCACCATACAGATAATAACAACAATATGCTTGAGTCTCACTGAGTGTCTTTAAGCCCTGTGGTCCACCCCCGCTTGGCTCTCTACCTCTCCCACCTGGCAATAAAGAAACTCTTGGCCAGATCACTCCTCTCCACGTGGTCACTTTGGGCCTGCATTTGCCTTACAATCACAACCAATGACTAACAAGGACTATCCCCTTTTTCTCACACGAATGATAACAGAAGTATAAATATCACAGCTAGAGGGATACAGAGATCATGTAGTCCAACCTTCTTATTTTACAAATGAGGAAACTCAGGCACAGACCAGTAAAATGATCTTATCAACAGAGCAAGAAAATACCAAAACTCTCAAATGGGGCCCTTTCCATTTGAGAGGGCTAGTAATCAGTTCCATGTCTTATCAGAACTACTATATTTATTACCTAGGTACTCCTCACCTGCCATAGGTATCAGGAACTAAATTATTTGTTAACAGATAGCATTAGTAATAAAATGGGTCTGTGTTTGAGACCACATGAGAGGATTTTGTTACTGACATCAAAAGAATCCCATTTTGAAATAACCTTACTTATCTGGCAAGCTCATGGCTTAGCCACCTGTACTGCTTGTCTCTAGTAATCAGTTCCATGTCTTATCAGAATAAACTATATTTATTACCTAGGTAACTCTCACCTTGCGATAGGTATCAGGAAACTAAATTATTTGTTAACAAGAATAGCATTAGTTAATAAAATGGTTCTGTGTTTGAGACCACATGAGAGGATTTTGTTACTGACATCAAAAGAATCCCATTTTGAAATAACCTTACTTATCTGGCAAGCTCATGGCTTAGCCACCTGTACTGCTTGTCTACGCTTTGTTGGGGGGAAGGGAGAGATGAGAGGTGAGTCATAGAATATAAAAGGAGGCCATCTCTTTCCCTTGGAGATTAGGCTATTTTGCAATTTGCAAAATGAAACTCAAAAAAGCCTATGGCTCACACCTATAATCCTAGCTACTCAGGAGGCAGAGATCAGGAGGACTGTGGTTCGAAGCCAGGTGGGCAAATAAGTTCAAGAGATCCTATCTCATAAAATTTTCCTTAGGGCTTCAGGATTTAAATATATGACAGTGGACAGATAACATTCCAGAAGAATATATAAACACACCATGCTCTAAAGCATCCACTGGGAGGAAGCTGCTAGGGGTTAGTTGTTGTATTTGGTGGAGGAGGGGTGAGAGAAAGTAGGTATTGATTTCCCTAATGTTTCCTTTGTGTGGCTGCTGTTGCCACATGGTGGTCTACTGCTATGAAGATTTGTGGTGCCAGACAATGGCTGCTAGACTCTTTATGACTATGCTATTGGTAAAGCTATTTCTGTGGGAGCCAGGCTAGGATACAATTGGCTAAGCAGTGGAGAAAGCTCAGTCACTGTGTACTGCCTGAGGCAAGACCAAAGGTGAAAGGACATTAATTTTAGTCAATGAAGAAAGAAAAGCCAGTTGCCGAGTACCATCTTACTTTTCTAGTACAAATACAAATTAGATATTTCAGAGTTCACACAGATACTCTCCTACATCAAAATCAATCAGAATAAACAAAGGGTAACTACCAAGGTTACCATTTTCATGGAGAAAGATTAATCGGAGGTTCGCTTTCCCATTTAGTGAAAAGGATAAAAACCCACAGCCAGTTCTGCAATCAGATGATGATGAAGAATCACTGGGGCAGGTTCTCAGCAGAGTTGACACAGTCAAAATGACTTCCTGTTAGGCAAAACCACTGCCTACTACTCTGATAATGAGAAAAAGAAAACCTACAGACAAAAGAGCAGGGCTCAACCAGCGTCTGAAGCAGGGCCAAATGATTTCCTGAGTAATAGGGTCCTGAGTTTACAGAAGTCACCATGGGTCTGTTTAGATGTTAGCTACTTACCCACCCTCTTTATCCTCCCTCACGATCACTGTTTTTTCCATTTTACAGTACACACACACAAACCACACAGTCCAAATCTAGAAGCCACTAGTTACATACATGTATAAATTTTAATTAATTATTTATTTTTGGCAGTACTGGGGTTTAAACTCAGAGCCTCATGCTTGCTAGGCAGGTACTCTATCACTTGAGCCACACTACCAGCCCTTTTTTATGTTGGGTATTCTCCCTTCCAAGTCCTAACGAGGCATGACCCTGCTTAGCTTCCGAGATCAGACGAGATTGGACGTGTTCAGGGTGGTATGGCTGTAGACTGTTGGGTATTCTACTGGGCTGGCTTCAAACCTGGATTCTCCTGATCTTTGCCTCCTGAGTAGCTAGGATTATTAGGTATGAGCCACCGGCACCTGGCTATTTATTTTGAGAGAGGGTCTCACCACACAGTGCAGGCTGGCCTTGAATTTATGAGCTTCCCTCCTTAGCTTCTCAAGGCTGTTTTTTAGACAGGGTCTCACTATATAGCTCAGACTTAGCCTCAAATGGGTGGTCCTCCTACCTCAGCCTCATATCACCACACATCATCACACCTGGCTAAATTAAATTTTAGAAATTCAGTTCCTCAGTTCTACTCACCACATTTCAGGTGCTCAATGTCACATATGACAGAAGGCTACCATTTTAATTGAGAGTATAGATTTAACCCAAGCTAAATTAGGAATCAAAAAACAAGATAACTTACGAAAGATTACATAGTTAAAGAAGATACCTTCTTTTAAAGGTATCTGATGTTTTGTCACTGACTTATATAATTACAAAAAATTGATGACAGAAGCCACTGCTGGTGATGCAGCTTACAAGACTCTGAGTTCAAACTCTAGTAATGTTCAAAAGACCAACTAAATAAACAAACTACTAAAAATAAATAAATAATTGAATGAATAAACAAACAAAGAAATAAATGCTGGGCCCAAGAGGCTCACACCTGCAATCCTAGCTACCTGGGAGGCTAAGATCCAGAGAATCACTGCTCTAGAATAGGCCCGGCAGGGCGTTCAAGAGACCCCATCTCAATCCATGGTTGGGCATGGTGGTGCACACCTGTCATCCCAAGCTATGTGAGGGGCTGAAATCCAAAGGATTGAGGGTCCAGGCTGTCTCAGACAAAAAAGTTTGTGAGATTCCATCTCAACAGAAAAAAATCTGGGCATAGTGGAACCTGCTTGTCATCCCAGTGACAGCTAGAAGTATAAAATAGGAGGACCCTATCTCCATAATAGCAACAGCAAAAAAAGGCTGGAGGTGAGGGTCAAGCAGTAGAGAGCCTGCCTCCCAATTGCGAAGCCCTGAGTTAAACTCCAGTGCAGCCAAAAAAGAAAAAAAATGAGGGGGAACCCCAAAAATGACAAACAAGCAAATAAACAAAAATACTCAATTTAAGAGGAACAAGGGGAATGGCTCAGTGGAACAACTATCCAAATGATTGTGTACTTCTTATCAGAAACCATGGAGGCTACAAAGAAACTAAATGTTTTAAAGTTCTAAAAAGATTACTAAAGGAATTCTTTGAAACAATAGTGGGGCTCTTGGAATATTAAAAATGAAAGATCAACAGAAATGACAAATACTTGGGTAAATATAATAAATCATCCTCAAGTTCTTTAAGGTTATCTGAATTGAAAGGGAAAAAAGTTTTTTTTTCCTTTCTGGTGCTGGGTTTTGAAGATATCAGCACCTACTGTAAGGAGGACTTAAAATAAAAAAAAAAACTGAATAACAATAAAACATTCAAGAGAACAGACTTCTGGTAGAATGATTAGAATGAAATGCCTGAATTTTGATGGGCAGACTGTGATAATTGGAGATAATTAACTGTGCTCCTCTAGGCCTCTAAACTCCTCTGAGCTCACTCTTTGAAAGTCTGGTTATCTGGTTATTGATGTAGAAACATGATGGAACTCTGAGGCCCAGCCTCTTCTATCACATGTACTTTGATAAGGATGTGAATTTTTCTTACTAAAAGAATATGCTGGAATCACATCACCACCAGATGTTACCAAACAATTTGAAATACCTCATTAAATACCTTTGTACTATTATTACATTTTTTTTTTAAGGTTTATGAACTTCTAAAATAAAAGAAATTCTGTTCTCAGGAGCAAATGGAACCTATAGGAAGTCTGGATGGTAGTCTTGGACAGCAACCTACAGCAAGTCAACTGCTTAGTAGAAGCCTGAAAACATGATCATGTAAACTTTTCCCTGTTGATTAGGCCTATTTATGACACAGGCATGAATGATGTAGGTGGTTGGGCAATGAGGGAGCTAGTGGGAGGAAGGAGCTGGCAGAACTTCCAGGTGTTTAAAAAAAGGCAAGAGCTGCATATTTAACAAGCCAACAGTAAGCGCTTAAGAGTGACTGTTCTCCATTCTCTTGACTCCCTCAGCTTCCCTTTTATTACTTTTTCCTCTTCAAGCTCTATCTAAAACTTCACTTATAATGTCAATCTCTCATATAAAATGTTAGGAAGGGTACTGGAGAGTACAGACAGTATGAATTACCTGCCCAGGATTAAATGACTGCCTAAGCTTCAGGGCTAACACTGCTGACTAGCCATGAAGGGAGATAATCTAAAAGCTGGCACTGGTAAGGTGGACGTACTTCAGTAGTACAGCACTTATCTATTTGCAATCCCTAGTACCACAAAAACAAAATGACAAATAAATTATAAAATAAAAAACAGGCACTGGTAATCTCTAGAAGTGGGAGATTCTACTAAGAAGTTTTCTCCTGTCCTATGTGTGGGCACTGCTCACAGGATGGAGACACCTGAGACTCCATATAAATATGTGGCAGTATTTGTAATAGCAAATTCCTATTGACTCCTCTGCTGAAGCAGGATATGTAGCACTTACCATCTTCTGTTTCCTGCCACACGATGCCTTCAAGGTTGACGCTGGTTCCAGGTTCACAGGGGCCCAAGCACTCAGGCTCTGTGGCTAGAGCCACATCACAAGTGTTAACCCCAACTGATCGCGTACGAACCATGATCTGCTCACAGGGGGATGAGATGTCATTATTGACCACTGGCACCAAAAGGTGCAGTGGCAGCACCGCTGGTGTGGAGACAGGGGACTCCATCTATGGAAAAAGAGAAAGTAGTAGCTGAGTCACAGAGAGATCATGTAGAGGAAATATCTTTTCTATATTTAGCCCTATATCCTTAGCTGCCATAGTACAAAGGCTCTAAATATAAGCTTTTGGTCCTTCTTTTTCAAGTTCTAGCCCATATACACTACAAATCAAGTGGTTTAAAAGAGAACACTCTGTGCTAGAAGCTCTGTTTCTAATTAATGATCTTCCTCATAAACTGTGCCTGGCTAGAAGTGATAAAAAAAAAAAGAGGGTTGGGGGCATGGCTCAAGTGGAAGGAATGTCTGCCTAGCAAGCATGAGGCCCTGAGTTCAAACCGTATTACTGCCCAAACAGAAAGCATGCCAGGCACAGTGGTACATTCTGGTGTGAGTTCAAAACCAGCCCAGGCAAAGTTAGTGAGGCTCTGTCTCAAACATAAAAGGGGTGGACACATAGTTCAAGTAGTAGAGCATTTGCCTAGAAAGTATCAGGCTCTAGGTTTAATCTCCAGTATTGTTCCCTGTCCACCTCACCCAAAAGACTCCTATTTTTTCTTGTAATTTCATTTAAAATTCTCTAGGAAAGAGAATCAGAGTGAGATTTCAATAGGTTCACAGCATAAGACTGATAAGCAAGAAAAGACCCAGCTTCTGAGACATGTTCGCCACCACTCTGCTTCCTACCAGTCTACCACTCAACTACTAATATTAGTTAGCAAATTCATAAATATAGGAAATGTACCTAAAAATTATAAGGAGGGCTGGGAGCAATCTGATGGGGGTTTCTGACCCCCAAGGATTATAGATGTAGTTGGTTAATGAGAATGGTATTTTGGAGTAGGACTCTTAACATCAGATTTATCTATAAGGAACAGAAGTCCTTTGAAGATGAAGTATGATACCAATCAATAAATGTAGAAAATGAGAGTCAAGGATCGGGACTCTTTTCACTTTGTAAAAGACTTTTTTAGTCAGGTTAAATATAGCCTTTGCATAGGTATTCAGAGAGAACCACAAATATACCCACAATCCAAGCTGCGGTTAGAACTCTGCAATGGGGACTCTGCTTCAAGGACAATTTACTACATGATCACTACTCTACCCATAATCCATCTCCCTTCCCCTACACACATACCTTTATAGTCTTGAAAAATCAGTCTAGAAGCTGTTTGAATACTGCCTCCATTCTTTGCAGTTGGTAACTTTCTCCCTGGCATAGAAAGGCATTACTATTGCAGACTGACAGTGTCAGAGACCCGAGAATGCTCATACCTTGACCTTGATTTTGATTAACTCTGGTCTCCAACCTTATCTGCTTCACACACACACACACACACACACACACACACACACACACACACACACACACACACACATCCCTAAAGTCTACCTTTAATGGAAGTAGAAGCCCATATGATGAATCTTCTGCCAAAAGGTATGTTTTACTCTTTGGAAATCAGGAATTTATAATTTAATTTGGTATTCTTTTTAAGATATGGCAGGTTCTTGAAAAACCCTTGAAAATTTCCATATACAATTTGAAAATAACACAAAGGTCAACTGGAATCTCCCTACTTTGCAATGTTAGAATGACTCTAATCCTTAAGCTCTTTCAAGAACATTATAAGAAACTCTTGAGAGTCACTAGAAAGCACTCTAGAGTTACTAGAGACAGAATATATGCATCATCTTTACTCTTGGCCACCTCTGCTTCTTTTTTATTTTTTGTTGTGAGAAAGAATTGAAACAAGCAATTTCATAGTCAGTATGTGCATTTTTTTTGCTTAGGGTTTGTTCCCTTTCCTGCACCTTTCTTTTATTAATAAGATAAATTCCAGCAAGGTCCTCTTTCTTGGGTAGAGATTGGCCTAAGCTTTCCAGTTCACTCCTGTGAACTTGCTGACCGCCTTGCTTGCACATGTCCTGCTGTCAATCAGCTCCATAATTGAGGCAGCTATCTCAGGGAGGCATACTTCTTTCTCTCTCTTCCCTTTTCCTCCCCCAGCCATCAAGGACAATTCTCTATTTTTTGGGTGGCAAGGGGTGGAGGGACAGTACAGGGGTTTGAACTCAGGGCCTCATACTCACTAGGCAGGCACTCTACCACCTGAGCCACTCCACCAGACCAAAGATAGCTCTCTGAAAGTGGTTTCTTTTTCTGCTAATCTGTCCTAGATAAAAACCAACCCTCACAAAGTCCAGAGTTCAAACCCCAGTAAATAAAATTAAAAATGAAAACAGAACTTATTTTTCTATCTTTGTCATATACTTAGGATACAAAGGCAGAGATTGTCTGGAGACTGGTGCCAACAGGAAAAGTAAGGACAGAAATGTAAAAAAGTTAAAGTTATTAAATGCCTTAATAACTACAACAACACAAGTTGGGCCAATTCTCAGTCTCTGAAATGCTAGAAAGTGTCACCCTGCTACTTGGGGGAGATAAACAACAAAATAAACAAAAACTGAAAAAGAGACTTTAAAGAGAAAATCTCTGCAGTTTCCCTAACAGTTCATGCTCTTAATCTTTACATGATACTTAACAATTCACCTTTAGATATTAGTTTTAATAGTGCCTATTAAGGTTCTGAGAGGTGACAAAGAAATAGGGACTGAGAAAAGAATAAGGAAAGGCCAGAGTCATTAATCTCCCCATAGGAAGTAATTATACACTCACTAACTTCCACTGACTCCCACACATGACAGGCATTGATGGAGAAAAATCTTGAAGGCTGCAACATAGTTTTCAGGGTAGAAAATGTACTAAAGAAATATTGGTACAGATTCTTTCTTCCCTTCCCCACTTCACAGTGAGAGTCTGATACCTTCTCATTTACAGTCAAAAGGCAGAAAGGAAGTGTTCTGATGGCTGCAGTAGTTCTAAGAAAATCTGTGTTATCCATATATGAAAGGATAAATGTTCAAGTTTATTCAGAATCATCAACTAAGACTGTGTAGAAAGTAGAATGTCATCAAATAGACTTAACAGTGTAAGATGTTATCATTCTTCAATAATATCAAAGGGGATTTTACAGCGACTTGCCATCAGCAATATTAAAGTAATATAGGTGCACAGGGCAGAGGGATCAAAATGAATACTTGCTGATTCATAGGCAAAACTGTAAATACTTCACTTGCCAAAGTATTACATAAAATTTGATTTGCCCACAATTTTTTTTTTTTGACAATACTGGAGTTTGAACTCAGTGCTTCACACTTGCTAGGCAGGTGCTTGAGCCACTCCACCAGCAGTGCTCACAAATTTTTACTGAAGGTTATTAAGAGGCATACATAATTAAAAATTCTATTTATTGATCTAGCTCTCAATTCATCCATCTATCCACCATCCATTTGTGTGTGTGTGTGTGTGTGTTGTGTGTGTGTGTGTGGTGTGTGTATGTACCTGAGATTAAAACCAGGGCCTTGTACATGCTAAATATGTGCTCTACAATGTGCCTACCATGGGAGCTAAAGCCCCAGACCCCATGTTATTTATTTCTGTGTCTCAAACTAAAATATACAGGGGAGGGGGATCACTTAAGCCTTTTCTTTCTTTATTATTTATTTATTTTATTTATTTTCTGCAGTACTGGGGCCTGAACTCAGGGCCTATACCTAGAGCCATTCCACCAGCCCTTTTTTTGTGTTAGATATTTTTGAGATAGAGTCTTGGCCACTGGCGCCTGGCAAACCTTCTGTTGATCGGAATTTTGAGGTAAAGTAAATTTACTGTATTTTCTTTGACTAATTAAGTGATATTGTTAGTTGTGGGGGCTCATACCTATAATCCTAGCTAGTCAGGAAGCAGAGATCAGGAGGATCACAGTTTGAAGCCAACTGAGGGCAAACACAAAATAAACAGGACAGGAGGAGTGGCTTGAGAGGTTAACAGTATCTACTTAGCAAGCATGAGGCCCTGAGTTCAAGCCCCAATACTGCCAAAAAAGAGAGACATATAGAAAGAGACACAAGAGAGACACATAGAGACAGATATTTTTGCTTATCCTGAAAAAATAAGCAATTCCTTGTTGTAAAAGGCTAGTGGGTAGAAATTATGGAATAATTGAGAATAGAAGGAGAAATCTCAATTTCTCAAAATGTAATAGAGTATGCTGATTAAATTCTAAAACAATACAATTCTTGGTGGAGGAAACCACCTCGTTGCAAACATTACATATGGTTAGACCTTGCTTTCCCAGTAAAAAAAGAAAAAGAACAAGTTTGATGTCAATGTGGGCTACATAGGGAGACCCTGTCTCAAAAAACCAAAAGGGAGTGGGGTTGGTCTGTAGAGCTTCCAGATTTTACTTTAGGCTGCATTGAAAAAAGAATTTGACAGTAACTCTGGTTAATTAAAAAAAAAAAATCCTGTAGCAGAAGGCAGGGAGGGAATTAAAAAAGAAAAACAGGTGAGGGAAGAAGGAGGGAAAAAGATCATCATAGCTGGTGCCATAATCAGACTTCAAACAGTTCTTAAGGCTACATATTCTATTATTCACAGAAGACTTACTTTATTTAATACTTAATTTTACAGATTGGTCAAGATCAGTAGTGAAGGCTGTTCCATTGTGCACTAGAAAATCCAAGTGCAGTGAACATATAATTTGATGACTACAAACTGCCACAAGACTTCTCCTGCAGTGATCCCTACACGGTCTCAGGCTTAGACCCTAAAGACTTCTTTTTGTAAAGAGAAAGAGCACATCAAACAATTCTAATATTCAAGCCTGTCTAGAGTCCCAGTATGTAGGAATGGTTGAAATAGGCTTGAAAAAAAATCTCATAAGCAAAATCAGTGCATAATACAAATCACATGACTCCATTACGGTGGCAAAGGTTTTTGCTGAATGAAACATCTCCTTTGCTCTTCCTAAATCTTTTCACCTACTATTGCCTGCTTGCTTGAAATTCACATCATTTTCCTTTAGCAACTAGAACTAGGAGGGCAGGGATAAGGGAACTTGATGGAAATTTTCCAAGGTCACAGAGAAGAGCTAAAAAGAACATAGG